CTGTTTGGAGCTATAGATCAGTAGTGGGTTTCAACTTCAGCTGCTACTGGTTCGCTTGTGGGCACGTCCGGGTGGGTGTGTAGAACCTCCCGCCACTGCTGCTACCGATTCGCCCGATCTGGAGCGAACTGGTAGCAACCCACCACTGCTATAGATGTTTCAAAATGGCCCTGTTTCTTTACATTTTATGTTAAATTTTATTTTATTTATCAGATTTACAAACTGCCAATCTACCTCACCAAGGTAGATAATGGTTTTTTTATTTTTTCTTAATGCTTGGCTGTACTTTTGTAAAAAAAAAAAAAAAAGCTTAATTTCCTATAGCACACCATATTTCCTAGAGCACATCAGAAGGAAAGCTCTAAAGATAGAGTAAAAAATAGAGTACTCACCAAAGCTTTCAAAAGTTTTCAGTGCAAAATTGTCACCCATACAGTTGAATACATATCTTTCCAGATTTTTTAAAAAAGATAAATCAGAAGTGCAATCTTAAAATCATTTTCTGTTTGTGGATGCTATGTACATTCTTTGCTGAATTATGACTTTCAAAATTTATTTTCTTTAAATACCAATAGTCCCTATTGGTTAAAAAAGATTCCTTATGCGAATTGTCCTTACTATTGTAATAGATTAAGGATTTGCTAAAATGGCCATTCTTTCCAAAACCAAATGTATATGTAGGTGCTAAACTGTTATTTAGTAGTGCCCAGGATGGAGTTAGTACAATGATATGAAGATTGTTGCACTGATCCAGACATATAAAAACAATAATATCCAAAGATAAGCACCCATGATAATATATGTGCATACCAGTTGCCTTACTTAATGCAGGAGTTCCATGAAAATGAATGGAGAAATTCTTAAAAGTAATTAACAATGAAGAATCAACAAACTATTTGATTCATACGTAATGCTAAAAGCATTTAGGCATTTAGAGTGCACTGGTACTTATAAAGCTTTAGAATGTGGACTTTTTTGCTTTACAGTTAACCTAAACACATTGGATTTGCATGCTTTATCTGATTGTTATTTAAAGTAATGCATTGACTTAAAGGTAATTATTCTAGATATAAGTAAAATTATTATATTCTTGATTTTCAAAATATTTGTTGAACTTTCAAAAATTATAGCACATTTATTTATTTAGACAAAATTCTGATATTTGCTATATATTTGAAGTTGACAGCCCGGGCAGCTGAAAGGCAACTGAATGACATGAGAAAGGAAAATCTACACAGAAGACAAAAGTAAGTATAAAGATGTTCATGTGTAGAAGTTTTAGCATTAGTTCTAAACCTAAGTTATTGTTGGGTTACTGTTTACTCCCTAGCATTATCCTTTTTATAATAGCAATTTTATTAAACATTACAATTAAAGGATAATTGAAATAAACATAAAAGGAAAGAATAGAAAGTGCAGAAAGAAAAAAATAGAAAAGAAAAAATATAGTATTTAAAGAAATTATTTCTTTCTTCATCACAAATATAAATAATTTTCAAAATTTAGCAACTTCTCTTAAAACAACAAATTATCTTTTCCTCCATATCTCAACTCTTATTTATAAATAAATCCTGAAAGCCTTGTGTCCAGTCCTGATTAACAAAAGGAAGACCTCCTAAAGAGTCAATATATGGTTAGATCTAGGTGGCTATGAATGTGTTTTTGAACAAAGGGGTGATTGTGATAATTCATCACTTCTTAAATCATGCCTTGATCTAATAGTTCTAGATTATCTTCACCCAGTCTTCAACCTTCTATTTTTAGAGAGATACTGTAGATACTTTAGTGGGGGTGATGCATCTGTTGCCCTGGATGATCTTTTAGTGGCTTGATTTTATCAGTCATGGTATCTTCCTAGACAGTTTCAAATTTGATAAAAGGGCCATGATGTTACACTTGACATTGGTAGGGGAGGAGTATAGGCCTCAGTTCCTGCTTTGCAGTGGTACTCAGAGTTTTTCCCTCTCCACCACTATTTGATACTTACATAAAGCCACTGAATGAAGTCATCAATTGGAACAGAGTTAAGTATCATCAATATACTGATAATATAAAGCTTTGTATCTGTACTCAGGGCTAACCAAGGGATGCTGTCAAGGTTTGTTCTTCATGTCTGAAGGATGAAGTGGTGTAAATGGGAAAGCACAGGTTTTGGCTAAACCTAAGCAACTCAGAATGATTGTGAGATTTAGGACCCACTCCCTTTCTGAAAACTGACCATCTTTAGTTCTGTATGGAGTTGCACTCCTCGAGAAAGAACTGCTGTGCATTTTGGAAGTCTCCTTGAATTAGTTGGAGTAGATGCAGTGGGCCTTTGCACAAATTCATATTGTATGCCAGTTGCATTTGATTCTTAATCAGGAAGCCCTGCTCACAGTCCACTCATGCTTTGATCATATCACACTTGGATTATTGCAGATTGGTCTACATCAGGCTGCTCTTGTGGACTATCCAGAAATTAGAATTAATCAGTAATGTAATGGTGTGTAGCCAGAACCATGACCACATAACAACACTACTACATGAGCTAAATTGGTTTCCTGTAGGCTTCTGGGTACAATTCATGGGCACACTTAAGATCACTTCATAGAACAGTGTTATTTAATGGTACTTGCTCTGTCATGATTTCGTACCTTTCAGAACAGCATGTTCTATGATATTTGGAAGGCTCTGGTCTTCTGTCAGACTTTAAAAATGTATTTTCCCTTTTGTTCCTCTGCCCTCCCAAAAATACTGAGTTAGTATAATGAATGAGCCTGCTGGAAAATAAATTTGAAATTTTGGATATGTCAAGTCCTTCTGTTTGTGCTGTTTTATATTATGTTTTATGTTTATTTTGTTTAGTTTTTAGTCCTAAATTAGCCTCTCAAAATCATTTTGCAAGTTGGGAAGCCATCCAAATCATATGTATGTATAAATCATTGAATCAGCCAATGCCTGTGATCTATCTGATGAACTGATTTTTCCTTTGCAGTAGAAAAACTAAATGGTTGAAGCAGTCATATGGAAGATGATAGCTTTTTGTTCTTTTTTTTAGTTTGACAGAAATAGAATTTAAACACCACCTTTTGAAAAAAGATCCTTATGCTTATGATGATACAGCCACAGCATTTGGCAGAGGTATGGCATTTTATTTAATTTCCAGTGTACTTTAAAGAATTCTTTAATTTAATTTTTGAATAAATGTACCAAACTACCAATTCAAGTGTAATTAGCATTTGCATTTAATTGAATTACAATACCTAATTCCCCCCCGTGATTCTTAAATAAAAGCTGCATAATTCCTCAAATGATTAGCAAAAACTGAGCTGTGTAATTGCAGGGCTAATAAGAAAAGTCAATCAGTTGACTTTATTATGTTCCAATTTAAACTTCAAATCTGAGCTGATAAACAATTGTTGTTCTATACACCCATTAACATTAACTTTGTAAATTTTAGTATTTTGTTTTAACTGTTCCAGAGCAGTCCCCATATGGACCCTCACCAATGGGCAGACCTTCATCTGAAACAAGAGCTTTTCTTTCCCCCCCAACCCTATTGGAGGGTCCCTTAAGACTTTCACCTGTGCTTCCAGGTGGAGGAGGAAGAGGTACACTTCTTAAATTTGAAAACTTAATGATTCTGGATTCTCTCTCCTCTTAGTCTATCCCTCCTTTCTTGGTAATAGTTCTGTAAAATCAACTTTAAAAAATCCTTTTCAGCTACATTTATATTATCTATATAAATGGTCTCTAGCATGGAGCTGAGAGCAGTAATTCCATATATCCAAATTTTATGTATTACATATTTTTATGGAAAACCTGCAGAAAGAAGGCTCCTGTTCGTGAAAGTACTTTTTTTACATTTGTTCCTGACTGAAACTTTTTGTAAATCTTTGATCTACCAGTACCTATGATTAGTTAGTACCAAGATTAGTTTTGAAATTAATTTACTTTTTAAAAGTCCTAAACCAATATGGCTTATTCATTAGATTAATAAAAACTGGACCAAATAGTAGTTTTTAAAACTAAAATAAGTGAGATGAAAGGAAAAGCAGGTCATAGTAGCCTTACGTTACAGTAAAATACCGTATGGATTTATCCATCTTAGATGGTTGATTGTGGCCTAAAGATGACTTTAAAACTATTATACTTTATTCCAAAATTGCTGGTATAAGACAGTCTGGAATGAGCAAGTACCATATAATGAAGTAGGTAAGAGATCAACACTATGCCATGGTTTGAGAATCAGAATAAGATACTCAAACTGTTTACCTGCTTTTGAACTACAATTAATTAAAAATGAAAAGGTTGAATAAGGTTGAATATAGTTTCAGTTTCTTTTTCCTACCTGTTCAAAATGCTTATTTCTCATTTATTCTTCTAAAATAAGAAAAACACTTTTAATCTCTTTAAAAGATGTGATGGGTTTCTTGGAGAAGGTTGCGTTTGAGACAGAATTGGGCTCTGAGAGCAATGTTTGTTTCAAAATACATAGTGATTAGGTTGATGAAAAGACTTCCTTCCTTCCTTTGCTTTATAAGTCGAATCTTAATATAATGTGGATTTTGTTTCAGGGTGATGGTGGTGGTTTTCTAAGCAGCAGCCTGACATGACTGAACAATTGCATATCTAAGACAAAGAGAATATTAAGTAAATTTGCAACTTTTGCAGACAGGATAAAACACAATAATAGTTTGTTTTAAATTGGAGAATTGGATGAAGTGTAAGCACAGGCATCTCCTCGCTTTATTTTACTTGCACTCTTCTACCGCATGTTGATACAAGTTCTTATATCCTGTTCATATATAAGCTTAAGGTCAATAGAACAATACAAAATAGGCAATTGTAGAAGCAATGGCAGAGAAAAACATTAGTTTGAATGTTAGTGATCAAAAGTTTGAGTGTTTAATAGCAATTAAGAATAGTGCCAGATTCAAAGATTCACAGTATTTTTAGAGTTCTAGGCAGTTAACAAAAGTCTTAAGGAATATAAACAGACAGACTTCCAACAATGCATGTTTGTGGTCAGATAAAAGTTTTTATTTGAGAGCCAGCTTGGTGTAGTATTTAAGGCATCAGGCTAGAAAGTGTGTTATAGTCCCAATTTAGACACAAAGCTTGCTGGGTGACATTGGCCGAGTCATTTTTTCTCTAACCCTAAGGAGGCAAAAGCAAACCACTTCTGAAAAACCAAGAAAACTGAAATGACTTATTTAGGCAATCTCAAAGAACTGTTCACTATTGATGAAAGAAAAAAAAAAGGCAGTCTTACTTGATTTCTGTTTGAAAGTCTGAATCTCTTCTGTGATGAGGGAAAGATCCTGAGGATGTACTTCAGTAACAGAGGAAAAGGAAGGAGGAAAAAGTAAAGGAAAAGAAGGAAGAAAATATGAAGTAAAAAAGTAAAGTAAAATATTTAATATGATTTGTCCTTTTCTAAAATCTACGATGACCATGAATAAAAACAAGGGCAAATTAGAAAAGTCTTCACTTTGTAAAGCTGAAGTAACATTGTATAACAGAAAAGATACGAGAATATAACATTTCCGTAATAATATTGAAACCAAATAATACTAAAAGAAGAGCTTTGTTAGAGCCATTTACAGACTGCCTCACAGTTAAAGTACACAGTATATAAAATGTACATCACTCTGTTTTTTTAAACATGTTCACTGGCCCAATCCTGATCAGAATGTGTGTGAAAATGGAAACACATGCCCTTTTTTAAATTATATGAAGAGTTCTTTAAAGTTTAATGCCTGTAATATATGTGAATTTTCTAATTTCAGAGGTTTTACTGCTCTAGATTGGGCCAGTGGGTGTTTGCAGTGGGTATAGAAAGTGTCAACTGTCCATTGGCATGTATAGCAAAAGAAAGTACTGGGAGTAAAACTTTACTGACAGATCCATATAGGTACAGAAGCAGCAAAGCCACTCCTAAGGTGTTGATGCAAAATCCAGCATAGTAAAACTTCCTTTTCCTTACCCGGGCCACCCAGCGTCCACTCTCCACCAATCCAGGTTAAGCATTTTATTTTGGGGAAACAGACTGCACCTTTCGAAAGTCTTCAGAGTCTGACCTTGGGCTTGCGAGATTTTCTCAAGCTGCAAATGGCTCACGTAAATTCCTTTTCTCCCTCCCAGCTTCCCAAACATTCCAATCATATCCATGCTCCCCCCCACCTTACCTTTTTTGCAAAGTTCCCAGCGAAAGAATCGCCTTGTGAGTTTACACACAAGTTAAATTGCCAGGTTTTTGAGATGTAAAGAAAAAAAATATCGGACTCGGATAAATCAGTTCAGAATTTTTCCACCTTTAATATATAAACTGTACAACTCAATTGAAGTGTACAATAACATGGTTGCATAAGTGTACACACCCTTAAACTAATACTTTGTTGAAGCACGTTTTGATTTTATGACAGCATTCAGTCTTTTGGGGTGGGAGCTTATCAGCATTGGCACACCTTGCCTTTGGAATCTGCCCACTGTGCCTTGCAAAAGCACTCCCAAGTTTGTCAGATTGCGATCTCCTATGCACAGCCCTCTTCAGGTCACTCCGCAGATTTTCAATTGGATTCAGGTTTGGGCTCTGACTGGGCCATTCCAAAACTTTGATCTTCTTCTGGTGAAGCCATTCTTTTGTTGATTTGGTGGTATACTTTGGATTGCTGTGTTGAAATGTGAAATTCCTCTTCATCTTCAGTATTTTAGCAGAGGCCTGATGTTTGGAACTGTTTCTAATTCTCTCCACCTTGATTAAAGCCCCAATTCTAGCTGAAGAACAGTCCCAAAGCATAATGCTGCCACCACCAAGCTTCACTGTCGGTTTGATGTACTTCTGGTAATGTGCAGAGTTGTTTTTGCATCAAACATACTTTTTGAAATCATGGTCAAAAAGTTCATAAGACCATAACACATTTTTTCTACATTTCAGACTTGATTTAGGTTTTTGGGAAATGTAGCAGGACTTGGGTGATTTTCTTTATAAGAAAAGGCTTCCATGTTGTTACCTGTTGTGGCTCCGTCCTCTGAGCCTATCTTATCAGAGGAAGAAGGCTCCGAACATGAAGGAGAGGAGACGGCCAGGCCTCCCTCTCCAGGACCCTCCTCTTTGGCAATGCCTCAGGTGTCTCCCGAAGGAGAAGAGATTGGCCAGGAGCCAGGTGTTTCCGAGCCGTCGGATAGTGACGAAGAAACATTGTGGTTGGACCCATGCCAGCGTCGGAGAGACAAGCGTGTGCAGCAGAAAAGAAGGCGTGCCAGAGATTAAGCTGAGTCACTAGACCACACCCCACAGGCTATAAAAGGGAGTGTGGTGGCCATTCGGACTCTGTGACAGACAAAGCTAATCTCTGGCGAGTCACTTTGCACCTTTGGACACAACGCCTATTTGCTGTGGATTTAATTACAAACTGGACTATTCAAACTGTGTATATTTTTGTCTGTGTTATTGGAGTAAAAAGTTCTTGGCAAGCAGCCATGGAGTTGCTGCCAAGTTCCTTACCACTGACGTTGAGTGTTTGAAGAAGTTATTTAACCCTCGGCTGGTTGGGTGCAGGGACAGAACATCACCATACATCATAGCCCAGACATATGAAGAATATGGGAAATTGTTGTCACATGTAGTACACAATCAGTACTTGCCAGAAATTTCTGAAACTCCTTTAAAGTTGTTGTAGGCCTCTTGGCAGCCTCCCAGCCCAGTTTTCTTCTTGGTTGCTGTTACACCACCACCCCCATAAATTTTGGAGGGATATACACTTCTTTCTTTCTTTATTTTATTTATTACTCATATTTCTATGCCACTCACTCTCTGAGGACTCTGGGCGGCTTACACCAAAGACAGTATACTAAATAGCATATTGCCCCCAACAATCTGGGTCCTCATTTTACCCACCTCGGAAGGATGGAAGGCTGAGTCAACCTTGAGCTGGTGAGATTTGATCCGCTGATCTGCTGAACTAGCAGTCAGCTGAAGTAGCTGCAGTACTGCACTCTAACCACTGCGCCACCTCGGCTCTTATATATAGTGATATTCTTGGCAATATCACTGTTTTTGTCTACTTGTTATTGATTATCTTCAGTATGTTTCATGGTAAAATTGTTTGTACCCTTCTGATTGATAATGTCCAACAGTGAGATCCTTTTGATACTTTGTACACTCTTTGCAGACCATGGTTTTTGGTTTAAGAGGCAACTGAGTAAATGTCAGAAAAATCCTACCAAAACAGCTGAATTTTATATGGGTTTGATCAGTCACTTTAATTGATGGCAGGTGTGTATTGACTACTATTTATCATCAGTTTGAATGTGATTGGTTAATTCTAAATATAATCACATCCCCAATTATGAGATGGTATACTTATGCAACCATGCTATTGTACTTTTTATTATTTCCACCTAAAAGATTTCTGTTTGTTTTTCAATTGAATTATAGAGCTTATATGTTATAGTAAAAGTTGAAAAAATTCTGAGGTGATTTATCTTGGTCTGATATTTTTACATCTCAAAAACCTGGCATTTTAACCAGATTTTCTATATCCACTGTATATCTTGGAGAATCAGTATTCAAGCTGCATGATACAAATTTTACATAAATGTATAATGAGCCAGCTTAAATATCACAAACATGTTATGTTTTCTTATCCTATTTGTAACTTCAGTGAGATTTTACTTGTGTATATTAGTCAAATTTATCTTTTCACCTAAATTTTATGATAAATGTGAGACAACAGATTTACATATTTGAAATGGACATTGTTTTGGTATTTACGGGTTCCGTTATGACTATTAGATATTGAGCTAATTGGATCCATGGTAATATTTTTGATTAGGTTCAAGAGGATTGGGGAATCCTGGCATAACTGAAGTTGGTAATGAAAGAGGAGAGCTGAACACTAGTAGGTTATCTGATCCACACAGGCCACCTTCTGACACTGGATCTTTGTCACCTCCATGGGATAGAGATCACAGAGTAATCCTCCCTCACCCAGGTAACAAAACATGATCTGCCATTCTTTGCTAAATGCAGAAATGAAACTACATTGAAATATTACTGAGATCTCCTTTGAAATGGATCTTTGATTTTGGTTCAGTGGGTGAATATATATAAATCATTTGAAGGTAGTATACTCTAAACATTGTTTTTTTCCTCAGAATTAATATTTATTGATTTATATCCCACTTTATTAATTTTATAAATAACTCAGGATGAAGAACATACCTAATACATCCCTTTTTTTTTTTACAGAATTAGCTGATTTAAACATTTTAAGGGGTATATTTTTGTTTATTTAATCCAAAACCTATATGACTAGAACCCTAGAACCATTTCCAGATTACATATTTCTGAAAATATATAAACTACATTCATAGTACTGATATTCCACTAGTCCATTTTTTTTTTAAAAAAATGGGATGTCCCAGGAATTCCTCAGACTAGTATAGTTGAATCATTTTTCTAGCATCATATGTTACAGATTAATTCTCCAGAGAAGATATGTTTCCGAGAGAAATCCAAAATTGAAATGGAGAGGAATTTCCTGGCCATGAGAGTTATTAAACAGCCTACTTACTGGAGTCATTGGGGCTCCATCACAAGACCTTTTCAAACAATAGCTGGATAGCAATTTTTGTGAGATGGCATAGGCAAGTGGTATGGATTAGAGGACCTCCACTTTCCCTTTCAATTTTAAGATTTTATAATTCTATATTAAGTATCATATAAGTATTAAGTAAATAAGTATCGGATTTCCATTAACATTTTCTGGGAGCATGTACCTCTTAACCATTATAGTTTAATTTGTAAATTTTGTTGCATAAGGAATGCGAAATAAAATAAACCGTAGGCATTGTTCAGGAATTCTTCTGAAAACGTTTTATTTTTTATTAAACAATAGGTCACCTCTATAATGAGCAATCTCTTCCTTTTCGAAGACCAGAAAGATTTTATCCCAATCCAGTAAACTCTGGAAGGCTTTCAGGACCAGCTGAACTAAGAAGTTATAACATGCATTCAGTTGATAAAACAGGTTGGAATTGTAGTTTTTAAATACTTGAATTTAAAAGTAATTCTTTAGAACCTAGACAAATGCACATTTTGAGATTGCTTCTTCTTCTTAGTAAGTAAGTAAGTAAGTATATTCTTCTTCTTAGTAAGATGATCTAAGAATGTTAGTAAGACATCTAGGAATGTTAGTAATACTGTAGGTTTGGTATGTGTTCTGTGCCCTCTGTAGTACAGCTCTGTTACTGATTTCTCACATAGAAAGCAGCAGTGCTAGAAGTTAGGAAACAAGTGAATCTACTTTAACCGTTCATCAGATGTGGAAAATAGCTGTGTTGTGAGAATAGGAAATAATGTATGCAACAAATCTTTCTCCCATGTTGCCCCATAACAGCCTTTTCAGCAACCTTGACTGTTCCCTCAGGCTGAGTATGTTGCATGGGGATGCATAGGACTTTGCATGAAATCAGGTAGAAAAACATGAACAGGATTGAGACTGAGGGGAAGTTTACTTAGAAAGGA